TTTTGTTGTCTCCTTTCCTGGCTTTGGTATCAAGGTGATATTGGCTTCGTAGAGTGAGTTAGGAAGGATGCCATCTTTCTCAATATTGTGGAATAATTTCTGTAGTATAGGTGTGAGTTCATCTTTGAATGTTTGGTGAAACTCTGGAGTGTAGCCATCTGGTCCGGGGCTTTTAGGGTTTTCTTCATATCAGATAGTAAATTGTGAACAGAGATAATTTTACTTCTTCCTTTCAAGTTTGTATAACTTGTATTTTTTTATTCTTATCCAATCGCTGTGGCTACAACTTCAAGTACTATGTTGAAAAGGAGTGGTCAGAGGGGCATCCTCGTCATGTTCCTGATCTTGGAGGAAATGCTTTCAGTCTCTAACTTACATTGAGTATGATGTTCATATATGTGAGTTTTTCACATATGGTTTTTGTTATGTTGTAGTTTCCTTCTCTTCCTAGTTTGTTGAGTTTTCTTTTTTTAATCATGAAAGGGTATTGAATTTTTTCAAATTCTTTTTCTTCATCAATTGAGATGATCATGTGGTTTTTACTTTCATCCTGTTAATGTAGTATATATTACATGGATTGATTTTCATATGTTGCATTCCAGGAATAAATCCCACTTGGTCATGGTGTATAATTCTTTAAACATGCAGCCAAATTCAGTTTGTTAATGTTTTGTTGAGTATTTTTGCATCAGTGTCCATAAAGGATATTGATCTATAGGTTTTTGGGGTTTTTTTTGTTTTGTTTTTTTGTAGTGCCTTTGTCTGGCATTGGTATCAGGGTAATCCTAACCTCATAAAATAAATTAGAAAGTGTTCTCACCTCTTCAGTTTTTTGGAAGAGTTTGAAAAGAATTGATGTCATAACACTATTTTAAAAATAGTATCCATGGACAATTCTGTAGGGTATATTATCGTATTAGTTGTTACTGTGTAGTTAGTGATGCTCCAAATTATTTGTAATGCCTGCTTTTAAAAGCTAGACATTTCACAGATCTGGAGGTACAAGGGGCTCATTGAGGCTGTCAAAAGTTTTTAAGGACTGATCCTGTGAGTAACATTAAAGCTATGACTTCTACAAAATATGTGACTAAAAAATTGGTTGCTCACTGACCCGCTAGCCAATTTCTAGGAGTGTTCTTGTCAACAAATACCATGTAGCGTGCAATTGATATGAAAGGGACAAAGAAGGAAAAATATCAAATAATTGTACACAGTGAAAGGAGAAAATGGGTGATGATGGCATACACAGAAGAATGGGAGTGGGAGATTTAATGTATGAAGCTGGCAGGCTGGGCTCACTTCACTTATCTGCTAGATAGCAATGTTGTCTGCTTGTTTTTTGTTTTTTTTTTTTTTTTTAGCTTTCCAACCCATCCAGACCACTTAATACTAAAGGGGCTGGTGTATCACTAAATGCAAAAACTTTTAAAAGACTTTAAAATACTGGCTTTGACGATAGCAGAATTTGTATTTTCTGTAGTAATATACCAGTTATGCCTATTGGGAACTTAATAAACTCTTGTTTTTAATTATTCTTGTATTCATACCTTTTCTTTAAAATGGACATCCTGATTTGAAGAGGTGATTTCATTGCTGACACATTTAATTTAATCTCAAAAATGTGAAAAAGAAGTTATAGAAAAGCATTTTACAGAAAGATTGGAAAGATTTCAGTTATCTTTTTTTTTTTAAAAGGATCTGTGGCTGCGGCTCTGGAGAATCTGGCTGTGCCGTGTGTGGATGCTGCAAGGCTTGTGCAAGAGAGTTGGATGGTCAGGAGGCCAGACAAAGAGGCATTCTTGATGCAGTGAAGGAAATGATACCTTTAGATCTTCTTTTAGGTAAATTGATTGATTATACTGAACATGTCCTCAACTTAGCAATTTTGATAGTTTAAACAATTTCTTTTTAGATACATGTTAAAAAAGTTAAGATAGTAGTTAATATATGCAGTAGTGCTCTTAATGTAACTGACAATATGACATTATTAAAGAGATGAGATTTCTTTTTCCCTTTTTGGCCAAGAATTCTTTGTTTTCTTTTTTTATTATATTTAACAAGTTATCCTCTGAAGCACCTTTTTTGCTAAGATTCTTGTAGTAAAAATTATTGTGTTTTAGGTAGTGTTTTTACTAGCTTTTACTTTGTTGAATTTTGTATAGTTCTGTCATAGCTATTATGTAACATACATTTTTTTGGGGGGGGTGGGCTCCATCATCTAGCTGTCCCAGTACCTGGGGTTAACATTGAAGAACACCTTCAGTTACGACAAGAAGAAAAACGGCAGCGTGTAATCAGAAGGCACAGATTAGAGGAAGGAAGAGGTAAGATGTAGCTACAGAGAAAAAGTATATGAAAGTCAATTTTCTTATTCTGTACTGAGACCACCAAAAAGTTTACAGAATAGGCTGATTTGGTAAGAAATCACTAAAATTGAAATTAGTAACATTCTGGTAACTCATGAAAATCAGTGAAAATATTCAATATATTTATAATTGTGCTAATAATAAAGGTTTAATACAGTAGGGTGTTTATAGCATAAGTCAACCATATTAAGAATTGTGCCATCTGCCAAATATCAATGACTTTAACAATGGCAACTTTTTAAAAAATACAAATTCTGAGAACTTGTCCTTCACCCAGACTTTGGATTCGTCTGTTTCAACATGGAACAAAATTCAGTTTAATCTAGTGTTTTCACTTTTTTCCTTAGTCATTCACAGTCATTATCATTTGGGCAAAGTCCTACTATGCTTCCCTCTAATCCGGTGCATATTTATGCTTTTATGTGCCTTTTGTTGTAAAAAGCTTATTCTAGTTATATGCAACAGGAGGAAGATGGCAAGTCTGCAGGTTTTATTTGCAAAGACAGGTTTGTTTATCTTTTCTTGATTGTTTATGACCATTTCTTGGCTTAAACATGCATTGAACAATGGTTATAATTTGTATTTTAATGTAGATCCAACAAGCAGAGATAAATATTAAGTATTACTAAAACTATTGTTGCCTGGTAGAATCTTTTCTTTATAGGATTAAGACAAATGTGACAGAGGTCTGTGATTTTATTCCTCTGCTAGGCAAAATCATGATTGGAAATATTTATTGATATTGCCTTTTTTAAATACTAGAAATGGCATGATATTTGATACATGAGATAAACCTGTTACCCATTTAACCATCATTATACATTTTTATAGCTGTTCTTTTTGTTAATATAAAATGGAATAAGTAATAGAACATATAGTACACATGATAAATTCTCATTTTATTAAACATAAATTGTAAAACATATACTTGGAACATGAAGATTGCTCTTTATAGCATCTGGTATTGATTAATACAGTTAATATTTGCTATTAAGTTTGGTTTTGCTTACATAAATCATTTCCTTTAAAGGGTATTTTAATGAGATCAATGTGTATATACTCTTATTTTATATAAATATGTGGGAAAATTGGATGGTAAATATTGCTTAGAAAACAGGATAGAATTTAAGTGCTGGGTCTTTCTTACATGGTAATTGATAATTCCTATTCCTTTTATGTCGATACGATTTGTTAAAGATTAGTTATCAGTGTATCTCTTTGCTACCTGTTTTTTGTTTCTTTGCCAATACTAGGTTGAGTTATATGAATTAACCTACAAAATGCAGCAATTTCTTATGTTTCAACCGAAGTATAGCAAATCCTTCTCTTGGCATTTAAGTACTTACTTAATGCTGTCTATCTTGTTACTTTTTTTTTCTCCCTATAAAAGAAGCTATTCTTCTTTAGGTGTAGTATATTTCTGCATATTGGAAATAAAGGAACGTTGAATTATGCATTGGTGATTTGACATAACTTGGTGATTACAGAATATTTTTTTGCTGTTTATTTTAAAATTTGTCATAGAACTTTAAAGTGTAAATCATAAACTCTAATCATGTAACAGTTAAAAAACTCTTCTACTAGTTAAATATTTAAAGCAATTATATTATTTTGTCGATTTTACAAACACTGACTTAGGTTCTGGGCAGTCAGTGTATATTTTGTGATAAATAGGTTTCATCTGCAGTCCTAAATATACAGAAACGCTTTAATAGAAACACTTTATTCAGATTATTGATGCACAAAAATTTTGTCTTATCCTTATATTTTGGTTGAACTCTTTTACACATATCACCCACTTTCATGTTTGTTAAACAGAAAATGTAGTATCTTTTCTTGATGAATTGGGATCTGCATTATGGACCTCTATTATGGCAATCCTTACTTTGCATGATACTGAAATTAACTGAAATTCATGCTTATTGGAACCATGTTCTACCTTTGCTCAGTTACCATAGTTACTGTGGAATCATGCAAAGTGAGAACATAGTTCCCGTATGCCTGTGTTTCAGTTAATGCAGCCTTGTGCAAAGTGATGCCTGTTTGTACATTTTGTTTATTTTATAGAAATACTTTTGCTTTTAAACAAGAATTCTAACTATGGATCCATTTTTAAAAATTCAAACTTCAGAGTCATATTCAGTAACTTTGGAAATCATTATGCTGTATTTAATAATTAAAATAACAGTATCCTGTTGTGACACTTTTATGATCTTATCTTTATATTCCTTCTCAGCATTCTATTAAAGCACTTTATAAGAAAACAAATTTGTTTAAGAAAACAAACTTGCTTTTTTTTGACACAGGGTCTTGCTCTTTTGCTGGGGCTAGAGTACAGTGGTATCATCATAGCTCACTGCATCCTCAGACTCCTGGGTGCTCAAGCGATCCTCCTGCCTCAGCCTCTGAGTAGCTGGGACTATGGGTGTATGCCACCACGGCCAGCTAATTTTTATATTTTTTGTAGAGATGGGATTTCACTATGTTGTTCAGGCTGGTCTTTGAACCAAGTGATTCACCCACTTCAGCCTCCCAAAGTGCTAGGAGTACAGGAGTGAGCCACCATTCCCAGCCCAAGAAAACAAAATCGAGGGTACACAGATATACCCACACTTGCAAGGGAAAAAACTAGAAAGATAAATACCAAAATATTAAGTGTTTTTTCCTGAGAAGTGAGTTTATAGGTGATTTTTATTTTCTTCTTTACAATTAGTTTTCTAAATATTCTCCAGTAAGCATGTTACTTTAAAAGAATAAGAGTTAGGATTTAAAACTTAAGCCATTGTTTTTTGAAAGATATCAGTTAGTTTTAAGGCATTTATGCTTTACCTTTGCATTTTTAAGAAATATTTTATTTGGATGGAAGAATGCCTTTCAGGTGCTATGCTTTTCATTATTTTAGTGCAGTTGTTCTCAAAGGGACCAGCATCACTTGGATACTTGTTAGAAGTACCAGTTCTCAGGCCTCACCCGAGACCTTACTGAATCAGAAACTTGGGGTAGGGCCCAGTAAATTGTGCTTTTACAAGCCTTCCAGGTGATTCTGATGATGTTAAAGTATGAGAACCACTATGGTAGGTCAGTGGTGTTCACAGTTTATTCCATTAACCTTCTGTGTCAGAATCACCTGGGCCTAATGAATCAGAATTTTCCAGGTCAAGATTCCTGGAAACACATTTGAGTCACATACACGGTGTTCTAGGGCTCTGTGCTAGAGAAGATTATTAGTCTTGCTTTTCCATGAGGAACAGAAATGTTAAATAAATTTTTAGTGTTCTAGCTGCAGTATATACCTGTCTTTTATTTTCTTGGCCTCTGCTTGGTACGTTTTAGAAACTAACAGTTTGGTAATGTTAGTAATTATGGTCAATTACAGTAATTGGCTTTTATCTGTGTTAATGTTTCATATTTTCAGAATTAGATTATGTTAAATTATTTTACTTGTCTATCATCCTATATACCAAGTCTCAGTTAATTTTTTTAAAGTTGATCAAAATACTGGGACCTAAATCTGGTACTAAAGCCTTGTTTAGTCAGCCTCAGGCCTGTTGATGTAATTTAGCTGATATTTATGATCTCCTATAATGGAATGTGCTTTTGAACCCCCAGAAAGCAGTGTTATTACTGCTTTTTGATAAATTTGGAACTTTGTCTTTAATTTAAACTTTTGTGCTGTTAATCTTTCAGATAACATTTTTCTTAAATTTACATTTTTAGATAGATATTAATAGTATTCATTTACAGATTTTAGTTCAGTGGTTTGTGACAATTTTCACTCTTTTAGATTACACTGAGTTGATTGATATATTAAGTCTCTGAGGACTTGTATTAACTGTATTAGTGTAGTGTTTCTTCTATAGAATTCTTAACTAGAACTCTCTAAGTCATCAGAAGAACTAATGGATGATTATATCAATGATCTTATCTTTATAGCCCTTTTCAGCACTCTCTTGTAAGGAAAGTTGAACTCCAGTAGTGTTGGCTACTTTTCCTTCTTTCTTTTCCCATAAGTGTTAAATTTTCATAATTGTGAGCTCTGGATGGGGTAAGCCCATGTCCTGGCTTGGCTGTGACAGTCCTATATTATACCTACTGTCCAGACATACTTCTTGCCTACTGTCCAGGCGTATTTCTTAGTAGTGCCTATTTTTACTCAGTAGAATCTATCTCATTTGGATAAGTTATATGATTAGCCTAGCTACGGAGCAAGGTAGTTAAGAGCTTGGGTTGTAAAGTTAGACTTTGGATTAAATCCTGGCTTCTTAACTGGGAGCGACAACTGTACCTACCTAAATAGGTATGTTAATGAGGATTAAGTAATATGCATGAAAGTGCCTAGCATGTACTATGCCCTAGGTAAATATTCCATGATGATTATGGTGGTAGTGGTAGACTATTTAGGAGGCTTCTCTTCAAACTTGATTCTTTTTCACCTGTGGCCTTGACTTAATTGCTTTTCTTACAACATTGGGGCGCTAATCACAAAACTTGGAATATTATTAAGAAAAATCCCCAACAGTTTTTCTAGAATAAAACAGATTCCATTTTGATAGGAAAAAATCAGTTTCCCATAGTTATAAATTAGAATATAAAAAAAAGTATTGTCTCTAATTCCAAAGTGATTGAGTTGATGTTGCTATTAAGTTTTATATTTTATTTTATTTCATTTTATAAATAAATAAATAAATAAGACAGAATCTCACTCTGTTGCCCTGGGTAGAGTACAATGGTGTTGTGGTACCTCACTGCAGCATTAAACTCCAGGGCTTAAGTGATCCTCCTGCCTCAGCCTTCTGAGTAGCTGGGACTACAGGCAAGCACCATGACCCCTGGCTAATTTTTCTGTTTTTAGTAGAGACGGGGTCTCATTCTTGCTCAGGCTGGTCTCAAACTTCTGAGCTCAAGCAATCCTTGCACCTCAGCCTCCCAGAGTGCTAGGTTTACAGGTGTTAGCCACAGTGCCTGGCTTGCTATTAATTTTGAAGCCTTTAAAACCATTATGTTTTCTTGTATTAGCCTATACTCCAATGCCACATAAAAATCTCTTTTTAAATTAAAATATTATATGAAGCATTTAGAAAATATAAGTAAGAGAAAATATCAGTATAATTCTTCACGCAAAGGTAATCACTAACGGAATTTTGGTGTAAATTCTTACAATTTTTTATGCATGATTTTTGCTTAGTTATTTTATGTAATTTCATACTGTGATACATACTGTGGCCCCATTTTTTCTCCCTTAGTATTATATAATAAAAATATTTTTGTGCTTTATTGCAAACACCATATTAAAGTAATATAGGAACTTAGGTCAAGATTTTCCACAAACCTATTCTTCAGTTCAGTTATTGTTTATGTTTATTTCATTGTCATCTTCTAATCAAGTTTTCTGCATTTCTAGTTAAATCATTGATTGAATTTTGTTTTATATATTTTCTTAGTGTTATATATACTTTTATTTTGATAGTGTTTTTTCCCTACCTTCCCATTTGCCCCCACTACACACAGGAGGTTAATAGTCTCATAAGTATACTTCCGTGTCTCACTCTATTCATGTGCAGATGTCTACACATATGTGAAAGGATAGGCATATGTTTATTTACAAAAGTGATATTATGTATACATTTGCAACATCTTTTTCTCATTTTGCAAAACAAAATGAACACATACTAAGTAAATATAGATCTACCACATTCTATTTGGTAGCTACCTATTATTTTATAATATGACTGTACCACAATTTATGCAACCATTATTTTGTTGATGGACATTCAGGTTATTTTCAGGTTTTTTTGGATTTTACTATAATAAATATTCTTAAATTTAAATTCCTATACATTAATGGTGCTTTCTTTTGTTTACGTAGTAGAGCTTATATAGTAGCAATAAAATGTATGGGTTAGAGAGTGTATATGTTTTAAAATTTAATAGATAATTCCTATAGTTTTTAAAATGTTACAAGAATTTATATTCTCAAGACTAATAGTATAAGAGTGGTGTTTTCCTATAGCATCACCTGTATTATTCTCAAAAAACATTGGTGAACAATGTTATCTCACTGTTAATTTAGATAGCAGAACTCATTGTTAATTTAAATAGCACAAAAGCATTTCCAAGTTTTTTTTAGGATAGATTTCTAGAGGTGCAGTTGTTAGGTCAATGGACAAAAAGTTTTAAGGTCTTGAAATACATCACCAATAGCTTTCTGAAAGACTCGTACTGTTTAATACTGCCACTTGTTCCATGCACTCTGCCTGCCTGCTCTGATGGGCTCTGAATAATCCATTGCCTACACATGAGTGGACAGAGCTTTTAAATATCTAAATCTGGTCATTCACACCCCTGTTTTGTTCACTCCTCTCCCAATGCGAGAAGTAACCCAAAAAGTTCTGTTTATTCAGAACTTTAAATAGCTTTTGATTATGTCTACTTTACAAAATCCCACTGCATTTTCCTTAAACCAGGCTACTTCTCCTTTCCCTGAATTATAGCAAAAAGTGTTTTAATTGGCCTTATTCCCAGTCTTATCCTCTTCTAAGCTATTATCCACCTTCTATCCAGAATGTTATCAGCAGCAGCACTTATCTGTTTAAAACCAAAAGGGTATTCAAAGTCCTTAGGATGAATTCTTTATTTTTATCTCTATAGCCTCATCTTTATTTTCATTCCTGTTCCCTGTCCCCTCATTTTTTCCCTATCTTTTGAATCGTTAGAGTGCTGGATACCTCCTTTATCAGACCTCATGTTTGTTATATGATATTTGTCTTCTTGTACCTCTAAACTCCCTACTTTCCCATCTTCACGTTTTGTTAGCTGCTCCTTCAGTGTCCTTTTCTTTTGTCATAGCACACTGTTTCACAGTTTGTTGTTTAGTTGTGTGTAAACTCTCCCCCGCCCCCAACGCCCTGCCCGTTAGATTGTGACCTTCTTTTTTTTTTTTTTTTTGAGACAGAGTCTCACTCTGTTGCTGGGGCTAGAGTGCCATGGCATCAGCCTAGCTCACAGCAACCTCAAACTCCCGGGCTCAGGCAATCCTACTTCCTCAGCCTCCGAAGTAGCTGGGACTACAGGCATGCGCCACTGTGCCTGGCGAATTTTTTGTATATATTTTTAGTTGTCCAGTTAATTTCTTTTTATTATTTTTTTAGTAGAGACGGGGTCTTGCTCCTGCTCAGGCTGGTCTCAAACTCCTGAGCTCAAACGATCCACCCGCCTCCACCCGCCTCGGCCTTCCAGAGTGCTAGAATTACAGGCGTGAGCCACCGCCTGGCCAGATTGTGAGCTTCTTGAAGCAAAGATTATATCTTGTTTACCAAGGGTTTCTGGGACCTGGCCTGGTGCCTAAATTGTAACATGTCTTTGTTGAGTAATTGAAAACAGCTTAAGGACTTGTCATCATTTCTAGAGTGAAGTTTTATGACATAAAAAGGTTTTAATTATCTGTTTTTTTGTATACTACTCCAAACTAATTTTCCACCCCTTTTTGCTCTATAACCTATACACCATTCATTTCAACTATGTGTGTTTTTAATGCTTATACAGTATTGTTTAACATCTTCATGCTTTTATAAATCCTATTCCTTTTGACTGAAATGCTCTCTCTTTTCCCTTCCTTCTCACTTGTTAAACTTTTTCTCATTCTTTGAAACCTCTCCGATTCTCCTAAGTTGATTTGATAGCTTTTTATATTTTATTATATAATGTATATAGAATTCCTTTATAGCATTTATCTTAATATATTGTAGTTCTTTGTTTTATTTCTATTTTCCTTAGTGGATTGAATTCCAGTGTCTTTGTCATTATATCCATGACACCTAATGTCTGCTACATAAAAGATGATAGAAAATGGCAACTAAATGAATGACTGAACTATATTTGAAGAAACATTATTTTAGCCCATGGGATACAATAATACTTTAGAGCCTGATGACCTTAATTTTTAAGCATGATTGCTTATGAGCCTTCTGGATTTATACTTCAAAAGATTTGAAAACGGTTGAATTTAGTGATAAGCTGAATAATGAATATTACAGGTACAGTATATTTTAATGGGGAAAAATAATTCTCAGGTAGGATTTAGAAAATGGTAATACAATGTAATATTTACAACTCTTCTCAGGAAAATGGATGGCTAAAAAATATTTACAATTCTTTTGTGTGGTTGGAAAGTATTTTTTAGAGTAATTTGTATTATCTCCTTTAGTAACAGTTAAAAAATAATACGTGTTAAGGAATTGATTTTTCTTCATATTTGAAATATATCAATATTATTACATTTTAGAAATGGAACTCAGTTTATATACTCTTAGCTTGAAAATAATTGGTACTGCATTACTGGGAAATAATATTTAATTATTCTATCAATACTAAATTAGCATATTTCTATCTGTAGTAGTCATAGAATATATTACTCTTGGCTTTGCATAGAATTGGTGCTATTTAGCATTTTTTTCTATATTGGAAACATAAATGAAATATATTTGTTCTATTTGTTTTTTATGTTTAATGAAGGGTACTTTGATATTTAATTTGACATTTGTGAAATTTTCTTAGAGGGCAATAGTTTCAATTTGTCCTGTCTTTAGAAAAATTAAACTGAAGATCAATGGGGAATTATGAAAATACTTGCTTAAATTAAAAATTTTCAGTGCTTGTATACTGTCATAATTCTGTTTAATTACTGCTGTCAAATTTAGAATGTTTTCAAATTTAAGGCATTTTTGATGTTGCTAAAACTCAAGAAAACTGTAGTTCAGTTCTATAAGAAAAAAACTAAAATTTTAAAGAGTAACTTAATTTCTTTTTCTTTGCAAGCTAAATGTTAATGGGGAAAAGTGACTTTTAAAATTTTATTAAAATAAATTTGGCTGTAGATTCTTTCCTCTTAAATACTATGTAAATGAAAATAACTATAATCTGTGTATGTATTGAGATATATATAGTGGTACTTCAAAAAGAAGAGATTTAATAAAAGATGGTTAATGTTCCTAAAATGTTACTTGGGTTAGATGCCTCTCTTCACCATCAATATAAAGCTGAGGCTACTTTTCTTTCTGTGTGTGTGTGATAGACATTTTTTGTTTTTGTTTTGTTTTGATCATCTGGTTTTCTTCTGTCATGACATGTAAAGTCAATAATATTTTTATCTTGGTTTTATAGCAAGATTGATACAAATATTAAATCTAG